TATATTGCACTCATCGCAGATATTGCTGAGTCCAAAGGAATATTAAAATTCTGGAGCCTTCAACTGTTTGTGGCACTAGGTCTAGTTTTCAAATTCAGTTCGGCTTCCCCCCAGCTATTTTGTAAATTTTGTCCAAATTTATTTAAATAATGGACATTTTGTCAAACAGTGAATCTACCACTTATAACGTATCAACCGGATTGCCTCATGGTTCAGTTTTTGAGCCCTCGTTGTTCAACATTGATAAACCTGTTGATTGTCTATCAATAGCCTTAAAGTAGGGCTTTATTAGATTTGAAAAAGCCTTCTGCTTTATGACACAACGGTCTAATTTTCCAATTAATTCAGTACCGTTTCCCCACCTTTGGGGAAATTAAAACGAACCACATTTTATCCATAGTTACTTAAACAATAGACTTTTTTCGTCTATGTTACAAAGAGTAAATCTACCAATTACAATACGATTAGTACTCTTGTACTAATATATTCATTATTCGTAGTTAAGAAAATTTTTTAAAATTTAAATTTAATACATTCAGGGTTTAGTACAATCCAATGCCATCCCAGTCGAGACTAAATTTGGCAGGTTAATTCTATCTCAATTCCTCATAGTGCAAACTGAAAAACCCCTTTTATTTTAAAGTGCAACCGGTTCAGTTTTAATAATTAACGTAATGTTTTAGTAACTGATACTTCGTGGCTAGAGCGGGAAAAAAATCGATACGTTTAAAAATTTTAAACACACGAATTTATTAATAACCTTTTAAACCAAGGATATTAACTGCGTCATTTGATTATTTAACAATGACTCGATGAATATTCATAAAGATGCATTGTACGGGGCCCCCTTCCGGAGAGTACACCGATTAAAATATTCCGGCACAATCGGCAAACTTTCTCGGAACGAGTTCTGTTTTTAAAATTAATAGGTTGAGACGATTAGGAAGACGTGAGTTAGTTTAATACGTCCATTTGATACTTATATATTTATGCAATTTAAGATCTTTTGAACCTTTTCGTCTCATAGAAGGTATGACAGTCTTAAAAGCTGGGGGGATTATTACCACAAACTGCCTTTCATATACCTGTCTGTCAATTATTAAACAGTTTTCACGTTTCCTTTTCCGTGTGAGGGTAAGCGTGAAAACAAATATAAAATTGATACTGTTGTTAAATGAATGTCTATTTTTTTTAAGGGTATAATTTTCATAAGAAGTTGGACGGTAAACAGCCAGACTGTCAGATATCAATAGGTCTTATAAGCCGGAACGTCCCCGGGGCCTAATACGAATTTCATGTGACGAGATCAATTCCGTAATTACCAGCCTGTTCAAAGGAGTTTTTCTTCTTCAAATTCCTTCCCGAGCTGATCAAATTGCGAGAAATTGTTTTTCCTTTTCTCTCACTCACTTCCCTTCTAAAAACAATCTATTAAACCTACCAAATTATTATACAAATCTAGTTTTTTATATCTATAGATCATTTATTCTAATTGATTGTATATAAATATTCACAACTTCAATACATAAGATTTAACTTCAGCTGGAAGACAATTCTCCTTTATGCATAATTAATAATATATGCCGATAAATGGTAACACATACGAATTTGAAATTTTGTTTTATACAAAATAAAACGTCTAACACAGGGGCAAATACAATATTTCTCAACTTCACTCGATACCACAATAATATGATAAAACCAGTCTAAGTCCTTCCTATGATCATAAAGATCGCGTCTAAAAAATTTGATAAAAATCAGACCAGTAAATTTCGAGATTATCTCTAACATTCAAACCAACTTTCTCTCTTTATAATATTAGTATAGATAAATTTACACATCAAAATAAAAAATCCGTTTGTGGTGAAACAAGCTTTGACATAAGGCGAGATAGAAGAACTATTGAATGATCTTCGGATTTGGGTTCTGGATATGAAGTGGGCAGAAAAACTTCTTTTTTTTATTTTAGAGATTTTATGATACTTAAGGAGGAAAACACAACCCGACGACTAAACAACGTAGATTACAGCTAATGAAATAAAAATTTATATAATGATTTAACTTAATTAAGATTAAGATTTAACTTCAGTTGGAAGACAATTCTCCTTTTTGCATAATTGACAAAATAAATTACACTTCTAGAAACTTTTACCAATTTGAATTATGTTTTATACAAAATAAAATATCCGTTTAACATGATACAAGCTGGGAAAAAAGACGAGACAGAAGAACTACTGAATGATTTTCAAAATTTGGGTTTGGGTGGGTTTTCTATTTTCCAGTTCAAACTGAAATTTTATGATACAAACTAAAAGCTGAAACACAACCCTACAGCATAATTTTTATATACGTAGAGTACACCTAATAAAATAATTTAAATAAAGGCAATGATGAATTTAAATTATACAAGCTTGATAAAAAGGCGGGACAGAAGAACTATTGAATGAGCTTGTTGTTTTCTAGAATCTTTTACAAATTTGAATTTTGTTTTAAACAAAACAAATGTACACACCAAAATCAAATATCCGTTTAACTTGATACAAGCTTGAAAAAAAAGGAAAGACAGAAGAACTACTAAATGATCTCCTGATTTCGGTTTTGGGTCGGTTTACCATGGGATTTTATGATACAAATTAAGCAGAAAAACACAACCCAAAGGCTTAACTTTTATATACGTATAGTACATGTAATAAAATAAAAAATTTAAATAAAGACAAAAATATATATATATCCAGCCTGTCTTACACAAGATTTAATTTGAGGAGGAATTCAGTTCTCCTTTATATATAAATAATAATATATATTACATTCTTCTACAAACGTTTACAAATTTGCATTTTATACAAAAGAAATCTACACATGAAAATAAAATATGAGTTTGACTTGATGTAAGTTTGAAAACAAGGCGAGACAGAAGAACTACTGATTGATCTTCAGATTTGGGTTAGGTTCGGTTTACCATTTTCCAGTACAAACTGAAATTTTATGATACAAACAACAGAAAAATTTAACAATATAAGGAGAAAAAATTTACCTAAAGACAAAAATGTTTACATCTCCATCCTGCCTTCCATAAGATTAATTTCAGTTGGAAGACAGTTCTCCTTTTTGCACAATTAATAAGATAAATTAGTTTTCTGGAAACTTTTACCAATATGAATTATCTTTTGTACAAAATAAAATACCCGTTTAACATGTTACAAGCAGGAAAAAGACAGGACAGAAGAACTACTGATTGATTTTCAAATTTCGGTTTGGGCCGGTTTTCTATTTTCTAGTTCAAACTTTAATTTTATGATACAAAATAAGCTGAAAAACACTTAACCCAACGACTAAGAATATAAGCAGAAAAAAAATTTACATAAAGCAAAATATTTAAATCTCCAGCCTGTGTTCCATAAGAATTAATTTCAGCTGGAGTACAGTTCTCCTTTTTGGAAAATTAATATAATAAATTATAGTTTTCTAGAAACTTTAACCAATTTTACTTATGTTTTAAACAAAATAATATATCCGTTTAACATGGCACAAGCTTGAAAAAAGGCCAGACAGAAGAACTACTGAATGATTGTCAAATTTGGGTTTGGGTCGGTTTTCTATTTTCCAGTTCAAATTGGAATTTTATGATACAAACTAAGCTGAAACACACTTAACCCAACGACTTAACAATATAAGCAGAAAAAAATTTACATAAGGACAATCATATTTAAATTTCCAGCACGCCTTCCATAAGATTTAACTTCAGCTGAAGACAGTTCTCCATTTTGCATAATTAATCAAATAAATTAGATTTCTAGAAACCTTTTCCAATTTAAATTTTGTTGTAAATTGTTTTATATACAAAATGAACTAACAAGCCACAATAGAATATCCGTTGATCGTGGAAAAAACATTTAAAAGGAGAAACAAATGAACTAATGAATGATCTTGAGATTTGGGTTAAGATCGGTATCCATTTTTCAGTTCAAAATGAGATTTTATGATACAAACTAAGCAGAAAAATCCAACCCGACGACTGCTATTTTATATACGTAGAGTGCAAATAATAAAATAAAAAATTTAATTAAAGACAAAAATATTTATATCTTCAGCCTGCCTTATACAAGATTTAACTTTAGGTGGAAGGCTATTCTCCTTTTTTCATAATTAATAAAATAAATTACAGTTTTCTAGAAACCTTTTCCAATTTGAATTTTATTTTATAAAAAATAAACTAACAAGCCGAAATAATATATCCGTTTAACAAGACACAAGCTTGAAAAAAAGGCGAGGCAGAAGAACTACTGAATGATTTTCAAATTTGCGTTTGGGTGGGTTTTCTATTTTCCAGTTGAAATTGGAATTTTAGGATACAAACTAAGCTGAAACACACTTACCTAAACAACTTAACAATATAAGCAGAAAAAAAACTACATAAAGGCAAACGTGTTAAATTTCTAGCCTGCCTTCCATAAGATTTAACTTCACCTGGAAGGCAGTTCTTTTTGCATAAGTAATCAAATAAGTTACTGTTTTCTAGAAACCTTTTCCAATTTGAATTTTTTTTATACAGGCGAAAACAGAAGAACTACTGAATGATTTTCAAATTTGGGTTTGGGTCGGTTTTCTATTTTCCAGTACAAACTGAGATTTTGTGATAAAACCGAGCCGAAAAAAAATTCACCGGACGAAAGGTCACAGCCTCGGTCAAGCCAGGCTACTGCCGACGTACAAAACAATGTTTGTATTTTATGTTTAACATTTGCATACTAATTGTACGGAAAGGTCTCTCCAGTCGGCTTCAACGGATAAAAGGTCGGCCACAAACGTGCTCCCGTGCCACAAAAAAACCCAAAAAAAAGATTTTCTAGCCCAATTTTTTTTTTTTGATAGTTTAAAAAACCTATTTATAAAATTCGTCTGACAATTGAGAAATTGTGTTTTATATGGATTGGTAGTTTTTAATGATGGTTTAATTTGATATAAACACTTGTTTTATTGAGGAAAAACGTGCGACTCACCTTTTTTTTATTGTGAAGTTGTTGCAATCCTTACTGAAGAGGGATCACCTTTGCTTGATTGTGACGAGAAAGCTCTGTTACATGTTTTCTCAGGTCGAAGCTCGTCCCTTGTCAAAAGAAGTTTTTCGATCAGTTTTAAAATTTGATGTCATCCCTCAGACAGGGAGGCAACACCACGCCCATTGGTTACACCGAAACACAGTTTGTTTTTCTCTATCTTCGTCCTTGATCCGATGTGAATGAATTCCGCCAGATCAGCCGAAAGTCGTCCGAGATGTTCCAGAGCTTCCGTCCCGGTTAGAACAGTCGAAACTAATTAAATCCGGAGTGGATGAAATTAAAATTGCCATTAACCTAATAGGCGAGACAGTTTAGGATTGATACGATTCGGCGTCTCAAGGAATCGAGCCAGGAAGGGTCTCGTGAACATCGAGCCGTCGTCGGTCTAGACTTGCAGCAGACGGACAGACACTTACGCGAATGAGGTTAAGCCCGAAACTCGAAAAAGGCGAAGGAGGCGAACTTCGGCGGCGGGGCGGCTGGAAAGAGCCGAATCAAGTCCGGTGCGCAAGCCCGATGCAGCGCTATTGACTGACACGGAAAAGGCGGGACTTGACGGCACTACCGAGGCCCCACTCCAGCGGCCCGCGCCAGCGTCGCCCGCCCCGCCCACGACGCCCTCCTCACCGCTACCGTACACCAGCCTCAGACACACCTGTTGTATATTATACAATCATTTAACTTGCCCAATTTAACTTGTAACGCCATCTTTAACAGTTCAGCTAAAACAACAGCACAATGCTAAAAAAGTAGTAGAGATCAGTAGTTCTTTCATAATTAAGAAATACGGTACAACTTAGTCCTCTTCTGATCCCATCATCACCACTGAGCCAATAAATATTACAGTCTGGTACATGCTAACTACAGCAGCCGTAATGGGTCATTCCTTCAGTTTCCATACAACGGACGACTTGCTATATCTACAACACTACCATGGTATGGCTCGATAGTAATGACTTTTCATCTTACATCTTAGACTTTTCAAGCAACAGTCAACTTGGTATACACAACACTTTATAGTCTAAGCATTTTTTCTTATGTTGCGACGAAAAAGCATTACCCTGTATATTGTTTAGCAAACATAAATATGGACAATGTTCTTAAAAAATATGAGAACGTTAGTCTAAAAAACTGCACAATAACGCAACGCCAAAAATATTCCCATGTTCGTACTATAGATCATTAGTTCTTTTCATAATTTAGAACTATGTTAAAACTTAGTCCTCTCCTTAGTTTCCATACAACAGTCGACTTGTATAATGATATACACTACAACTGTGGTCATGGCTAGTAAGTAACGACTTGAATGACTGGATAGTCTAAGTATTTTTTCTTACGGTGCGAAGCAAAAGCACCACCCTATGTATGTTTAGTCAGCACAAATATGGACACTATTCTTAAGAAATTTGGGAAAGTTAGTCTGAAAAACTGAAGAAGAAATACGCATCGCCAAAAATATTCCCAACTTACTGGTGATCAGTAGTTCTTTTCATCATTTAATAACATACATAATAACTTACATTCACTAATTTCGTGGTCCGCTTGACCAATTAAATCATTACAATTAATTAAGGTTTTTAGTTGAGATGAAAAAAAGTTAATGGCACGAGAGGGATTCGAACCCACGATCTTCGGCTAGATACGCCGCTGCTCTAACTTGAGCATATCGTGTCCTCGATCCACTCGGACATCAACTTCCTATCTCAACTCCTTATGAGTTTTCCCTCCTTTTTGCCATTTTTCAAATGTCGTGTAATCGGTTTGGATTCTCGACGACAATTGAAATGGCCACGGAGAGTTTTAGTGAAGTGTACTTCATATTAATTCTTTAAATTCACTAATTTCGTGGTCCGCTTGACCAATTATGTATTACAGGGTTTTAGTTGAGATGAAAAAAAAAAGGAGGGAAAACTCATAAGGTGGAGTTGAGATAGGAAGTTGATGTCCGAGTGGGTCGAGGTCACGATAGCTCAAGTGGTAGAGCAGAGGCGTATCTAGCCGAAGATCGTGGGCTCGAACCCCGCTCGTGCCATTAACTTTTTTTCATCTCAACTAAAAACCTTAATTAATTGTAATATATAATAACTATGTTACAACTTAGACCTCCCCGATCATCATTACCACTGAGAGAATGGGTCATTCCTCAATAGTATCCCATACAACGGTGACTTGGTATACACTACAACTGGGTCATGCCTAGATAGGACCGACTTGAATGACTTTGTAGTCTAAGAATTTTTTCTTATGTTACGACGAAAAAGCACCACCCTGTATATTATTTAATAAACATAAAAATTGACGTGTGTGGTGTTTAGTGACCGTTACTTGATGATTATTTGGAGGTCGTGAGATGCGGTATGGTGTGACGTAGGTTTTAGAAAAACATTTTCTTTATCGTGCCAACGTTTCGTTCTTTATTGAGATCATCTTCAGGGATCAAATTTTTTTCGTGTATGTGTCGTGTTGAGAATGGGCACAACTCAGTAGTTGAGATCAGTATAGTTCTACCACTCACTACTTAAGATTACTATCCAAAATAATAATTATTTTATGGATGGAGATAAACGGCCGATACACCTGTCCAGAGTCCCTTTGTGAAATAACTCTCCACGCCGCTAATTGCACTAATCGTCGACCTCATAGGTTTTATGCCTAATTTCATAGAACTAATTATGAAAATGGCGCGCAATGACATATTTGCAAAAGGTCTATAATGAAATCTGTGATACAAAAAAATTGAAAGTATTCCGAATATTTTCTACATTGCTACCAAAAAGGTCTACTGTGGAAACCGCTAACTTTATAATTTATGTAATGGTAATTAAATATTATTTGTTTTTGTCCAAGTATGAAACCCCTCTGAGAATTCCTCCACTTTTTATGTTTTGTGAACTCATTCTGAGGTGGAGGTGTTTGATCTTGTTATCCTAAGTATACGTTCTGGAGTATATGTGCAGATCCTCCGCTGGCCATACTCGGGTCGGTGTTTTATCAGATGCCAGTGACCGGTATGTAGCCTTATAACTCCCCCCTGTTTTACCCCTACTGTAGCGATGTGTTTGCCAGTTTTGAAGAGTCCTTTTATCACTAGTGTCTCAGTGACATTTTATACACTGTCTACTTTGAAATTAAGTTGTCTTGCAGAATATCCTCCTTTGGCCAGTTTGTATGCTTGTTCAGTACCCAGAATTCCTTTATGTCCAGGTCTTCTTAGTACAATGAAATCTGTTTAGGAACAGTATGGTGTAACTACTTTTGTTTTTTTTAGGAGAGGAGTTCTCTAAAGAAAGATGTTTATCATCTGATAACACTAGGTATACGGTGTAGATTTAGATCAGGTAATGATTTATGTTAAGGTTCTCATAGTTTTCTTGATCCTCCTCATTGAACCTATAAATGGTGTCATAATTGAATATATCAATGTTGTGTCGGTGTTTCAAAGATGCCAGTGACCGGTATGTAGTCACTCCCCCAGTTTTACCCTGTCTGACATGGCACCTCTAGAGTTCGTCCTTGCCGCATGTTGCAAGTAATAGAAATAAAAACAGGGTTACTTGAGAAATATACTAAAAACTAGTTGTAAAAATCGCTGAGATTAAAAAAGAAAAAATCTTAAAATCGAATGATGATTGATTATGATCGTCTGCAATTTTTTCCTATTCATAAGCCATAGAGAGAATCGAAATCACTTGTCGACATCATAGTAAAATCGTCCTTAAATTGTAGGTGTGTCCTACCTTCCTTATCCCTCATTTTTTTCTTCATTTATTTTGCTGTTAAGTAAAATAAAAAAAATTACAACACAAATTAATCCGATAGTCTGGAGGAGGAACAATGTATACAGGTTGTTCCGGACCAGTGTTTCCAAACTGTTTAGAAACAATGTTCAATATTGTTCAGAAACATTGTTTACAGTTTAGATTAGGCTTAATGAGCCAACGTTACTCATTAATATCGACTTGCATTTCCACACATGCAGTTACTACCTGCCTGCCAATCTTGAACTTTGGTTGTTGAAAAAAAAATTCACCAGCGTTTTCACAGTTATAGAAAGCATTTTACAATTACATTCCAAGAGTAAAAAGAAAGGTTGACAGAAGACATTTATTGAAAATTCCAATGGTTATTGTTGCCAGTGAAGTCTTTCCTTTAAAAGCTTACATAATGAGACCTTCCAGTGTATTTTAAGAGTACACAACTAACTTTTCGAATACACCATCCGGTTGTGTCCCTACGGACAGAGGATTTCAAATCACCAGAGACCATAAAAAAAATCGAATGGGTTTATGAAAAAGCATTTCTCGTTTTAGGGCGGACATTTCGCATATTCACGATAAGACTATAACGATTATTGTTTACTTTTGTAAGTTTAAGAAAGTGACGTTAGAAGCGAAACAGGAACTGAAGTGAAACTGCCATCCGTGACCACACCGTCGAAAAGTAAACTAAACCAATTGGAGGCCCCTACTCACGGTAACGTAATGTCCCCGTCCTTTAATGCGGTCCACAAGGAAGTTCAGACATCACATCTTAATAAATGAATCATTCAAAGAAGCACAAATTCATGTACAGATCGTCGTAATAATTGTACATTCATACAAAATTTATATTGAAAATCCTTGGTATAATCAAGATTGTTTATATTGAAGGGGGATGCTTCCGAACTTTTTTCTCATTCTGGTATACAATTTGTCTGCGTAAGATTATTTTCAAGCGAAAATAATTCATATGCAGTAAGGTCCTACTACGAACTTACAATTAATTCGGAGCTCTGTTCGGATAGCCCAATAATGCAGGCACAACAATCTGATTTATTGAGGAATAAATTTATCCAGCAAACGTGGTACTCACATTGAACTAGTTTGAAAAATAAGTTATTCTGAAAAATTTGGACGAGGTTGATGTACTTAAATTGTTTCGGATGATCTGTCAGTCCCTGTTTTGGTCTTTCATATGTTTCAACTTCTTGCCATATTCAATTTTTATTATTTTCATAACATTTTTGGTAGAAACCCAACACATACGGAATTTATTACCTCGTAAACCTCTCAGTTGGAAAGGACCAAACTACAGGTTCATTAGCTGGTCGACCCGTGTTATGTCGTTACTTGAAATTTTGATCTGTCTACCCTTGGGTCTGTTAGATGCATTTCTGCTTCTCGCCATCTTCAGTTTTCAGTAATAATTTCAGTTAAAACCAAACAACAAAGGTGGGTTGCCTGACAGACCAAAGGCTCGGAAAGGGGACCAACCTATAGGTTCATTAGCTCGTAGACCTGTGTCATGTCGTTTCTTGAAATTTTGGTCTTTCTACTTTCACTGTTTTGGACTGTCGGGTGTGTTTTGGCTTCTCGCCATCTTCAGTTTTCAATGTTAATTTTAGTTAAAACCAAACAACAAAGATGGTTTATCTAACAGACCAAAGAGATCGGAAAGTTCCAAATTACAGGTTCATTACTTCGTAGACCTGCGTTCTGTCGTTTCCTGTAATTTTGTTCTGGCGGATCGGTTGTGGCTTCTCGTCATCTTCAGTTTTCAATGT